CCTATCTCATAGAACTGGAAGGGACCCTGAAAGATCATCAAGTCCAGCCCCCTGCCTTCACTAGCAGGACCAAGTACTGATTCTGCCCCAGATCCCTAAGTGGCCCCCTCAAGGATTGAACTCACAACCCTTGGTTTAGCAGGCCAAGGCTCAAACCACTGAGCTATCCCATGTCCCCCTGGGGTCTGTGCTTTTGCACATGTGTATGTGTGATTGCATGTTGGTGGTGTGCATGTGGACATGAGTGTGTCTCCCTGAGGGAGTTGTGCATGTGCACACGTGTGTGCGCGATTGCACGTCGGGGGGGATCTGGCAGGTGTGTGTGTGTGTGTTTGTACATGTGTGAGTGTGTTTTTGTGTGTGTGCGTGCGTGTTTGCATTGGGGGGGTAAAGGAGAGGAGGGTCTCGGGGGAATCCCTCAGCCCCTTGGGGTGTCAGTCACATCACCCCTCTCTCCAGCTCTGTCCGGCTCTTCTCCCGCGCTCTGACTCCGTGCGGGCAAAGGCAGTCGGCAATCGCTCACACAGGGCCCCGGGAGGCTGGAACCCACTCGGTCGTGGGGAGGGAACGGTCCTCTCTGACTCTTTGCACCTCCCACAGGGCATGGGCACCTCGAGCCAGCCACCTCTCTAGGGTGTGGGGGGGGGGGCTGCAGTGTGGACCAAGGGGGTTATGGGTGCATGCTCAGGACACTGAGTGCGGCAGGATGCAAAACCGGATGCGCCCTGCACGATCAGGTGACCCAGGTGCCACCCTTTCAAACTGTGCCTGTGAGGACACTGGCCCTTTAAGCCTTAAAGGGGCCACAATCATTTTTAGTGGGAAAACCCCCAGGGTGGGATAACCACCAGCCCCTTCCTCCCCTCCCGGTGTCTGCCCTAGCAGGATCCCGGCTGCAGCCCATCCCGGGCTGAGGGGTCCGAGTGGAGGGACAGCACCCACCTCCCCATAGCACAGGGGAGCAGCTGGGGTTGGAGGTGACCTGGCCTCCATTTCTCTGAATTGCAGGTACTCGGTGGAGGGGTTTATCGACAAGAACAAGGACACCCTCTTCCAAGATTTCAAGCGGTTGATGTACAACAGGTGAGGGCTCCGGCTGCCTGCTGCAGGCCCATGGGGCTGAGCCTCGCCGGGCATGTGGGGCCTGGCCTCCGCTCCGGGGAGGGGGCGAGAGCCGCAGCAAGAGAGATCCTGCGGGATCGGGCTGGCTGCCCTGACACCTGCGTCTCCTGTCAAGCCACAGAGCAGGTACGGTGCAGGCCGCTGCCCCCAGCAGGGTGTCTCGGCCATGACCTAGCGGGGAGCTCGGTCTCCAGGCCAGTTAGCCCTCAGCCTCCCTGCCGGGGCTCCCAACGAGCGGGCTAACTGTGAGGATGGGCCCCGACTCCTCTCCCACAGGCCGCCCATTGGCAAGCAGCAGGCTGGCTTTGACCAGCGGGAGGGGCTCTGGGTCCTTTTCCCCTGACTGAACCCAGGGGGCAGAGGGGAGCGATAACGGGCTGGGAGATCCTGGAGCCGGAGCAGCCCGGGGGCAGTTGGGACAGGATCCAAACCCTGGCTGGGTTCCCTCGCACAGGGCAACAACAGCCTTATGGAGCCTCCTAACTCCTGGGCAGCGCTGCACATTCGTCTACGCCAGCGGGTGGCGCTCTTCCTTTAAATGAACCCGCGCCGTGGCTCTATCTGCGGAGCCTTGGATCGGGATCTGGGCCCTGTGGCCCGTTTCCGTCTCAGGGTCCTGCTCCCCCTGTGTCTCTCCCGTCCAGGCAATGGCCCAGGAGGCTGGAGGGAATACGGGGGAGGGGAGGAGAGCTCTGCTTCGAGGTGGTGTAGGTGGATCTTTCACAAAAGTCTCCTGCCTACAGTAACTCCCTGGACAGCTGGGACGAACGGGGCCCGTGCTCTCCCCTCACCCTGGTGTCCCCGTCCCTGAGCGTCGGCTTCCCGGCCCCTCACGCCCCTTGGTGATCTCTCCCCAGCACGGACCCCGTCCTGAGGGACATGTGGCCGGAGGGCGAGGTCAGCATCACCGAGGTGACCAAGCGCCCCCTGACGGCCGCCACCCTCTTCAAGAACTCCATGGTGGCGCTGGTGGAGAACCTGGCCTCCAAGGTAACCCCCCCACCCCGACCCTGGCTCCTCCTCGGTCATCTGCTTCACCGGGGCCCTCTGGCTGCTGCCGGCAGTGAGCAGGGCTGGCCAGAGGTCCCACGGTGCCCTGTGTGACAGAACAATAGGATACTCCACCTCCCCTGTGTCTGGACTGGGAGCCCGGAAGGACCTTTTCAGGGCAGTCAGGGAGCTCGGCCTGGGATCCTGGGGCCAGTGTCATCCGGCAGGCAGGGCCCTGGGTGGAGCTGGCCCTACACAGCCACTGAGCTTGCATAGGCCCATGGTGGCCACTGGCAGCATGTAGGGATGGGAGATTGGCAAAGGTGGGAAACCCCGAGATGGGTCTGGGCCCAAGGCCTCCCTCCAGTTCCAGGCTGGATTCTGTGTCCCTTAGCAGGCAGAGCCAAGCCCAGGCAGGCTGAGGTTCAGGATCCGGCCTCTCCCAGGTCTCAGGGAGTTCTGAACGGCCCGTCGGAGGGGAAGGCTCCGGCTGTCGGGCCAGAACCTGGCTCCAGGCTTGGCATTTGGGGTTATGCTCTAACAGTGCCCCTGCACCTCCCCTTCCAAACACGTCTGCCGCCTGGACGCTTCCCGGAGCGCCCCGTGCCTGAAGGGCCCAAATCCCAGGAGGGGGGCAGGCCTCCTGGCATTTCCAGCCCCACACGCCCAGGCTGCCCCTAGTGCACATCCGAGGCCCCGCTCCTCGCCCTTCCAGCACTGACCTCTCCAGTCACAGAGCCGCCCCGCGGCCCCCTCCCTGCCCAGCTTCTTGGTGCCACCCCCCATGGGTGGCAGCATAGCTGGCCAGCAGGACACCCAGCCCTACATCTCCCAGCCGCTCTGCTCCCCAGCAGCCTGTGAGCTTGCTCGGTGGCTGGGCGCTGTGGTGGTTGGGCAGGGGTGAGACAGCTGGATGGTTCCCCCCACCCTTCTGCCCTTGTCGCCATGTGACGGTGGGATAGCCCTGATGGAGGAGGTCTGGGAGCATGCCATGCTTGCTCCTGCCAGAGGGGGAGCTGTTGAGTGGGACGAGGGCCTCCCTCCCCAGGAACCGGGTCCTCCGCCCTCTGAGGCTGCTCCCCTCCCTCCCCGGATTGGCCCACTGCTCATTTGATTGGCTAACTGATGAGTAGCTCCACCCGGGCTTCTTAAAGGGCCAGCTCCTAAGAGGGCACTGTTAGCACCTGGAGCGTAGCCACCTGTCAGTTTGATTCCTGCAGGTCAGCCGGGTCTGGGTGCGAATCCTGACTTGCTCAGTAGCTGGGGGCCCCTGAGATGGACCTGACAGGCTGCCTGCTGGTTCCTAGCCAGAGCCAAGCAGCAGATTGGCCAGTGTAGCCGATCCTAAACAGCAGCATCCCCCAGCCTGCGTAGCCCTCCCTGACCTGGTCCTGCCCTCCACCGACCCGCTGCCCCGGCCCCAGCCTGCACACGCTCCATTCAATTCGCCGTTTCCTTTGGTTGTTTCACCAAGAGGATAAAGACCTGATTTAAAGGGGACCGCGTGTGTCTGGCTGAGCGGAGACACGCGGGGACCCCAGCTGCCTTGGCAACAGGCAGCAGTGAATAATACCCGTGAATCACTTGGCATTTGCTCCCATTTCTGATCAGGAACCTGTTCCCAGAAGCTGCAGCAGCTAAAATTAGCCCTCGGTAGGAAGAGAAGTAGTGAGAGGCGGGGGAGGGAGCCAAGGAGAGGGTTGGGGGAGGGGAGCCCAGATGTGTGCCGCTGGCCCAGACAGACGTGCACGTGGATCCGCTCTGGCACGGAGCCACCCAGACAGGCATGGGCAGAGGCACACGCCTGGCTGCACCCCCAGCCAGACACGGCCATGCAGGCAGAGATGTGTGCACAGACAGAAGGACATGTAGACACGTGGCCACCCAGACGTACATGCACAGATCCCCGCAGACTTAGAGCGAGAGACCCACAGCCATGGAGGTGTGTCCGTGCAATTGATGCACACAGGGACGCGCACTGTCCGTGTACGCACACTAAAGCAGACCCACACGTGCCTAGAGACACCCCCAGCTAGCCAGCCCTTGTTTGGCTGTGGGGATGGGACTCGGCTCGGGCTTGTGGCACAGGTGTTGGAGGAGAGCTGGCCTGGGCTGCGCCTGGCACTGGAGAACACGAGCCCCGGGCGGTGCTGGATTGACTGGTTCTCCCTCCCCGCTCCTCTAGCTGCTCATTAGCTCTGCCTGGGCACCTGCTGCTGATGCTGTCACTGGCAAGCTGATGGCTCAGCCAAATTTAGCTCCAGTGTGAGCTGCCGCGAGGCTCAGAGCCGTGATTCTATCTCCTGGCTCAACCCAGCTGGAGCGGAGGAGCTGCCTGTCCCCATCACATGGCCGCAGTGCTGCTCCCGTTCACCGGAGCCCCCCGAAGGAAACACTATTGTAACAGGTTGCACTGTGCGGCACACTGTAACCCATGAGAGCACCATGGGGACAGCTATGACGTGGCTCCTCTGCTCCCCAAACACAGCCCCTACCATCTGAGCTACAGGAGAATCCCTTTCAGCAGTGCGGGACTTATGACACACAGCTGAGCAGTTCTGATCTGTCCAGCAGAGGGCAGTGGTGACACACACACGCACTCGCCAGCAGCGTACAGCACAGCCTGCCCCTGGACGCCGCCCCCACCACTCTGCCCAGGGAGCTCCCACGGGGTGTTAGGAGCGGGTTGGCACTGTACATCCAGGGCAGGACCGGAGCAGTGGGGTGGGCAGGGCTCGCAGGAGCTCACCATGCTCTCAGGTGGCCCCTCTCCTCCCTGCAAGGCCAGGGGAGACGCTCTCCCACGGCCCTGACTGCCCTCGGGACGGGGGTGTTGTCCCTCACGGGCGCCTGCCCTTGCCGGATCTCTTTTGGCACCCCCTGGCTGCTTTGGGAGTGGGGGGCTGCCATTCGGTTGGGGAACACAGGCAAGGCACTGCCTGCAGCTCCCCTGGCACTGCCCCCCAGCTGCCCACTGTCAGGTTCATGGATTTCCTCTGGTTGCCCCCTCCCCCTCATTGAGTTCTGTACCGTGCTCGTGGGGAGCTGAGTGGGGCAGGGGCTGTGTCATTCCCCGTGGCCCGGATCCACGGGGTCGGGGCTACACCCCCCGCTTTGGAGCCGTGTCTAGGAGGAGCTGTTCAGTGGGCCGCGCCCCCGGGCGTCTTGCTCTTCCTCCAGGGTTGGCCACGTGCCCTCAGCCCCTTCGAGCCTGAACGTCTGGGTCTCCAGAACCCCCCATGAGCTCTGCCCAGTGAGTCTAGCCGAGCTGAATGCCTGAGGGAGACCTGTCCACTCTGCAGGGGCTAACACACCTCGCCAAGCGTGGGCACTGCCATTCCCACGGCGCTGGCAGAACGGGCGGGTTTCTCGGTCGCCTGTCATGCAGCCTAGGAGCCCTTAGGTTAGCCCAGAGAGCTGCAGGTCTGGTCAGCCCAGAGCCAGGCCGTGCTGAGCCCCGGCTCTGTCTGTCTCCATCTGCCCGCCATGGTCAGCGCCCCAGTGAGATCCCCGAGACCTCCCAGCTCACACTTTCCCAGGCCTTGTTCTCCAGCCGGGGCCTGTGCTCAGCTTCCCTGCGGAGAGGTGGGGCAATCCCCCACCCTCTGGGTCCGTGGTCACCAGGCCTCAGTGGCCCGGTGATTGGCTTTGCCATCTTCTTCTTGGATTCTCCGTCGATCAGCCTCGGCCAGTCGTTTTTAACGCCCCAGCCCGGCTCAGACAGCTGGGTGACGGTCATACCTCTGTCTGCCAGCCTGCCCTGAGAGCACACCGTCCCTTCTGCCCACTGGGTAACCATGCAAGCTATAGGGGAAACTGAGGCACGCAGTGGCATCATAAAAGTATTACAGAAAATTCCCATTTCGTCACCCTGCCCCGCTCACACGTGGCCCGGGCATGCCAAGGGGACGGGGATGGACCATGTTGAGGGGGCAGGGATGGGCCAGGCCTGGCTGGTTCTCCTCTCGTTGGAGCCAAACTGCAGCCTCAGCAGTGATCATTGTTTCAGGCCCCAAAGCTCTGAAATTACCTGGCCGCCCAGACCCCAGGTAGACGCCGCCTGCCCTGTGCCCCTGTGAAGAGACATATGGCTGGGTAGGGGGTGTGAGCATCACCGCCCCCTGCTGGGTAGTGTGTGTGCTGCGGCACACAATTGGCCCTGGGCTTGGCGGAGTGGCCACCAGAGCCCAGGCCAGGCGCTCTCTGTGGAGCCGCAGTGCCACTGCACTCACCCCGTCGCTCCCCTTGGAGGGGCACATTTCCCCTCTGAGGCGGCAAGGCACACGCCCAGGCCCCAAGCGCACCCTGCCGCTGCCCCAGCCCTGCTGGGCTTCCACCTGCACCTCCGCTTCCCAGCGCCTGGCGTGCCCCAAATGCAGCCCCCTGCCCTGCTCCTTGGCTGGCCCTGGGCGGCCAGCCCCGTCAGCGCCCCCCGGCTCACCCTGCAGCTGGGGGATCCCCCGGGGCAGCCCTGTCTTTCCCAGGCTTCTCCTGGGTTGGTCTCTGGAGACAGAGGCCTCGAGGGGCAGAGCTCATCCCCAGAGCAGGTGACCCCTCCTCTCTCCTCCCATCAGCCCTGGGCCTCCTTCCCCACCGGTCCCCAGATACGACCTGGCCTGGCACCACTCCCCCTGCTCCCTGCCCAGCCATCCTGGGGGCTCCTCCCGACACCCCCTTCACTGGCATCCCCTCTCCAGAGCCTCCCCCCCAACCCGCTGCCCCAGAGTGACGGTCCCAGCAGCAGCTCGAGGACCCCTCCCGCCCCATGGTTTCAGTGACACCCCCTCCTCTCCCCCCAGGAGCCCTACTACGTGCGCTGCATCAAGCCCAACGACCAGAAGTCGCCGCTGCTCTTTGACGCCGAGCGCTGCCGCCACCAGGTGGAGTACCTGGGCCTGCTGGAGAACGTGCGGGTCCGCAGGGCCGGCTTCGCCTACCGGCAGCCCTACGACCGCTTCCTGCTCAGGTACCTGCCCCCCTGCCCCGTCCCGCCCCCGCTGGCCCAGCCCCCCCACCCTGTCCCTCTCCCGCTGGCCCAGCCGCCCCACAACGTCCCGCTCCCGCTGGCCCAGCTGCCCCACAACGTCCCGCTCCCACTGGCCCAGCCGCCCCACAGCGTCCTGCTCCCGCTGGCCCACCTGCCCTGTCCTGCCTCCACTGACCCGGCTGTACCTCCCCATCCTGCCACCATTGGCTCCTGGCTACCCCACCCCATCCTGATTTGGGGCTGTATTAGTAGCAGCGTTGCCAGCAGATCGAGGGACGTGATCGTTCCTCTCTGTTCGGCATTGGTGAGGCCTCATCTGGAGTACTGTGTCCAGTTTTGGGCCCCACACTACAAGAAGGATGTGGAAAAATTGGAAAGAGTCCAGCGGAGGGCAACAAAAATGCTTAGGGGGTGGAGCACATGAGTTATGAGGAGAGGCCGAGGGAACTGGGATTGTTTAGTCTGCAGAAGAGAAGAATGAGGGGGGATTTGATAGCTGCTTTCAACTACCTGAAGGGGGGTTCCAAAGAGGATGGATCTAGACTGTTCTCAGTGGTACCAGATGACAGAACAAGGAGCAATGGTCTCAAGTTGCAGTGGGGGAGGTCTAGGTTGGATATTAGGAAACACTATTTCACTAGGAGGGTGGTGAAGCACTGGAATGCGTTACCTAGGGAGGTGGTGGAGTCTCCTTCCTTGGAGGTTTTTAAGGCCCGGCTTGACAAAGCCCTGGCTGGGATGATTTAGTTGGGAATTGGTCCTGCTTTGAGCATGGGGTTGGACTAGATGACCTCCTGAGGTCCCTTCCAACCCTGATATTCTATGATCCTGCTGCCCCCTGCCGCACCTCCCCTTCCCGCTCCGTCCTGACACCAGTCCCCACCATGGGTCAGAGCTGCCCCTTCCCTGGAGGCCAGCCCGGCTGCTCTCCATGCTCAGGACCCCGCTGTCTCCATGCTGTCTCCATGCTCAGGTATAAGATGACCTGCGAGTACACGTGGCCCAACCACCTCATGCCCACGGACCAGGAGGCCACGCGGGCCCTCATCGACCAGCACGGCTTCCAGGACGACGTGGCCTATGGCCACACCAAGATCTTCATCCGCATGCCCCAGACCCTCTTCTGCCTGGAGCAGGAGCGGGCCCAGCTCATCCCCATCATCGTGCTCCTGCTGCAGAAGGTGAGGGGGCACCGGGGGGTGCTGCTGAGCTGCTCTGCCCGCCCCCGCCCCCCGGCAAAGAGACGTGATCCCCTCTGTGTGTGTGAGGGAGTGGGGGCTAGGGGGTAGAGCGGGGGGCTGGGAGCCAGGACTCCTGGGTTCTATCCCCAGCTCTGGGAGTGGGGGCTAGGGGTTAGAGCAGGAGGAGCTGGGAGCCAGGACTCCTGGGTTCTATTCCTGGCTATGCTGCTGACTCGCTGTGTGACGGCGGGCAGGACACTCCCCCACTCCCTGCCTCAGTTTCCCAGCTATGAAATGGGTCGATGACCCTTCCTGACTCAGCGGGGGCATGGCGAGGATAAAGGCCGTGCTCTCTGCGTGGGGCTCCCACGCGAGCGACTGTTTGTCCCTGTCTGTGCAAGGCTTTGAGATCCTCGCACGGACAGCGCTAGAGAAGGACCAAGTATTACGGCCATTCGCAGCACCCACGCTGTGGCGGCATCAGCTGGGGAACGGGTCCCAGGGTGGTGGTGCCCCCACCTGTTTGCTTGGTGGCCTCTGTGAGCCGAGTCTGCCAGGTCTCAGCCCAGTGGAGGCGTGTCCGTGTCCTGAGCCCCACCCTCCAGGTTGGGCCGCGTGTGCTCGGGAGCCAGGGGTTGTCCGTCCCCAGAGCTGCCCCGCGGGGGCTTTGCCATGTGGGTGGGGTGAGCTGCGGTCTGATCCCTCCCATGTCCCGGTGCCACAGACCCAGCTCTGGCAATGGCTTCGCCTGGGAATGGCCCCTCAGGAGGGCATCAGGGTCCATCAGCTGCTGTGCTGTCCGAGCGGATTAGCAGCAGCCTCTCGGCACGTGGGAGAGCGAGGGGGGCACCGGGGTGTTCTGATCCCAGCCACCCATCGGGCACTGAACCACTGGGAAGGAGTCAGGACACAGGCACAGGGGGAGGGCAGGGAAGGGCGGGCACTGCCCGTGATCCGGCAGGAACCTAATGGAGCCGGGTTGCTGGCAGGCGAAGTCAGACGAAGGGGGCGCAGTGCCGAGGTTGGGCCCCAGGTGCTCGCTCTGCCCTGAGGGTCCAGTCCCCTGACTGTGCTTGCCCCGCTCCAAGCCCCCAACCTCCTTGACTGCCATGGTGCTGCTGCTCCGCGGGGGCCAGCCCCCGACCCCTTTACTATCTATAGACGTGGCACCGTTAGCAGATTTCCCAACAGCCGACGATGCGTCTGGCTGGGGAGCTACGTAGTAACATCAGGAAGAGCCCGGTGACGGGCTGATGGGGAGCGCCGGAGTCCTCAGGGCCCGAGTGCCAGCATCTGCAGCACTGCCCGGTCCCCAGGGGTGAAGGGAGTGAGGCTTGGCTGGGCATCCCCGGCACCCCAGAATGTCTACGTGTCTCTAGGTGGCCGCGGGAGAAGCTGTGGAATTTCCGCCCCGCCCCAAATCCCCATTTCTCAGCGTTTGTCCCCAAACTTTTGTACAATGAAAAATCCCAGAACATTTCAACTGGGAAACATCAAAGCGTTGTTGTTTTTTATCGACACCAGCCTGTGTCCACCTGGGCCACCGTAGTGCTCTCAGGCCCCTGTCCTCCCTTATGGACCCTGCCTCTGTCCGGACTACATCTCCCAGAAGGTTTGGTTCAAAACTCTTCAGGCAGCCCAGGCTGGGCTCCCAGGCCCTAGAGCCGATGTGCTAGCTATGGGCTGCCTTTTTCCTGCTGTCATTCCCTCTGTGCTTTCACTCCAGTGCCAACAGCTCCTTCACTTCCTGCCCTAAACGGCTGTGCCGCATTGCCACATGCGAAACAGCTGCTGCATCCCACCCCAGAGGTGGCTGCCCTTTGGTGGTGGGTAGAGGGATCCCCGTGTGCCTGGTTTGTAAAGGGCTCTGGAGTCCTCCTGCGGCTGAGAGAGGAGACATGGTGTGGGGCTGGAGATGGCTCCATGGTTTGTGTGGCTCCGAATGCTGGCTGTGGGGTTTGCTCCTGATGGCCGCAGGGCACTGGGTGTGGGGTCCTGGGGGCTGGCAGGTGGGGCCTTGCCAGCAGAGGTGTGACTGGGTCTGTGTGTCTGTCCCAGGCGTGGCGGGGGGCCCTGGCCCGGCGGCGCTGCCGGTACCTGCGTGCCATCTACACCATCATGGGCCACTACAAGCGGCACAAGGTGAAGACGTACCTGCTGGAGCTGGTGCGCCGCTTCCAGGGGGTGCGCAGCATGGCCGACTACGGCAAGAGCGTGGAGTGGCCCGACCCGCCGGCGGTGCTGGCGCAGTTCCAGGAGAACAGCAAACTGCTCTTCCGCAGGTAACGCCGGGGGACAGAAGGGGCGCCCTGCACGCAGGCCCTGCTCCCCCCTGGGCCCCTTGCTGACAAGGCTAGAATCAGCCACAGTGCAGCCTGGCAAGCGTCCCCAGCCACCCCAGATCGGCCCACGCCCCTCGCTCCTGACCCACAGCCTCCCCCCCCCCCCGCCGCCCCAGCTTGGCCTACGCCCCTCGCTCCTGACCCACAGCCCCCCCCCCCGCCGCCCCAGCTCGGCCCACGCCCCTCGCTCCTGACCCACAGCCCCCCAGCTACCCCAACCGCGGACCCCCGCAGCTCTGCCCGTGCCCACCTGACTGATAGGCAGTGATTGCTTCATTCCTACGGGATTCGCCCAGTGGCAGCCGGGCGCGATGCTGTCCAATGAGCCGAGGGGAGCAAATGCAGGCCCCCAGCTCGCAGCCTGCCCGGGGGGGATGCTGTGTGGGGGGCTGCCCCCCAGAGGCCAGGGTGCTGCGCTCCAGGGCAGGCCAGGAACCTAGCAGGGCAGCCGGGATCCCTGAGCCCCCTCCCCTCGCTGCAGGTGGCGAGCCAGGCAGATCGTGAAGAACATCCCTCCCTCGGACATGGCGCAGATCCAGGCCAAGGTGGCGGCCATGGAAGTGCTGCAGGGCTTGCGCAAAGACTGGGGTTGCCAGAGGAACTGGGGCCGGGATTACCTGTCGTCGGTGAGTGTTTGGCCCGGGGAGCTGCCCGGAGCCCGCTGGGCCAGTGATGCTGGCAGAGTGGGTTCGGGATGGGAGGCAGGCGGGGAAGTGGCGTGGCCTTGGTGATCCAGCAGGGGGCGCTGCTCTCTTGGCGGGGAGCAGGGCATCCCCCTGCTCCCAGGCTGTGAAAGCAGCACTGGATGAGGCGGGCGCTGTGCTCGGGGGAGGGGGGGGGGCGTGCCCGCCGGGGGCGGGGGGGGGGGGGAGGCAGCTGCCCGCCCGAGCATCTGCTCTCGCCGCCCACAGCTGCTTTCTGCTGCCAGGCTGCAGTTGCCATAGCGACAGGCTCCCGTTAAAGCCCCGTTTCTCCCTGTGTTTCTCCTGGGCTGGTCCCTGTGCCCCCATGCACCCCCTCCTCTGGGCTCTCCCGGCTCTGCCCCCTCGCCCCTCCCACGTCCGGGCTGAGAAGGAATGGCTGGGGGGCCCTCGGCTCATGCAAGCCAAGCAGCATGTGGCCAGGAGGAGACCCCGGGAGCGGTGCCGGTGACTGCGTTCATCTCTGTGAGTCCGTGCCCCTGTACAGTGCAGGGGGCGCTGGTCCGCCCGCAGGAGGGGCCCACCTGTCACTGAGGAGCCTGGGCGCTCCTTTAACTATCAGGGGGGCCTGGCCAGATTCCAGCTCTGAGGTACGTTCTGGCTCGCATTGTGGCTTCAGCTGGATGCAACGTTTTCTTTGATTCTTTTTTTTTGGCCACGTTGCTGCGGGATGTTAAACAGCAGCTGCGTCCCACCCCAGAAGTGGCTGCATTTTGGTGCTACTCCATCTCCATTCCCCCTCAGCCGGCTGTGTGGTGCGGCTCCCTTCTGCCTAGTGCCAGGCTGAGTGCCAGTATGCAAGTCCTTCTCTTTGTCTCCCCGGTTGGTACTGCCAGGGTGACTCTGAGCTCTAGTGCCTCTCGGTCACCGGGCTGTGGGCAGAGTGTGTGTGGGGTCACCCGCCCCCCACTGGCCTGGGCCTGGAAACAAAACTCCCCATCCCGCCACGGTAGGGTCATGTGCCAGGCAAGTTGGCAACTGGGCTGCGGTGGGGTGACAGGTCTCCCCTGGGCATCAGGATCCCCACTTCAATTATGCCAGCCTGGACCAAGAGCTGCCCACCCCCACGCTGCCCGTGCTGGGCATTGACTGGCCTCTTGTTCTCCTCTGGCTCAGCAGCCTGCCAAGAGCAGGTGCCTCCTTGCTACACTGAGCGTCCTTTTGCTGCCTACTTCCTGCGCTGGCAGCTCTTCCCCGGGCTGCGGCTCAGCTCCCCAGAGGGGCCCCAGTGTTCCTCTCCCCCGGGAGGATCCCAGCGTGGATCCGGCTCTCCCAGCCAGCACGTTTCAGGGGGACTCCATTGGGGGGTGCGCGGGTCTGGCTGTGTTTGTGTGTGGCCGGAGACCTGCACCGGCTGGCTGTGTGTTCCTCTGGGGGTGGATGTCTGCACGGGTGTGCTTTGGGCAGGCATTGTGTGTGTGTGTCTGTGTGAGTGAGAGCAGGAGTTTTGTGTCTGCCTGTGTGCATGCGCTCCGCTGGGTGTCTTTGTGCGTGTAGCGTGTCTCTGTGAGAGTGTGCTGGGCATGTTCTGGGTGTGTCTGTGCACACGTGCACGGCTCGTGTCCGGAGGTGTGTGGGGCAGGGAGTTGGGGCTGTCCCTGGCTCTCTGAGTGCTGCATCTCCCTGAGCAGTGGGCATCCACATCCCAAGATGCACCTGTCTTTCGCCAGGAATGGGAGGTTGTCTCCAGCAGCTCTCGCTCGGGCCCTCAGAGAGGCTTGATTGTTCCTCCCCAGCCGGCAAAGCCCCACGCCGCTGCCGGCTGAGAGCATTGGCTGTGTGGGACCCTGCCCACGGGGGCTGAATTAACCCCACAGCTGGGCCCGGCCACGGCCACATGGCACTTGCTGATCGAACGGGGCCCGTGTGGTGGAAACCTCCCGGCCCCTCCAGTGAATTCACCCCGGCAGGGCTCTGAACACCGGGACGGTCCCCACAAGGAGGCACGAGTCAGGGGAGCAGACGCCCTGCAAGCCCCTTCCGGTCATGCCGTGCCAGGAGAGGAGTGTGTGTGAGTTTGATTTGGGCCTGATTCTGATCTCACGCTGCCTGCTTCACTGAGACTCCCGATTTACACTGCTGTGGCTAGCAGCAGGATCAGGACCTTGTGTCTAAGCCGAGAGTAAAGGCCTCTGTGGGTGGCTGCTGCGGTCTATAGTTTTATGCTAGTTCGCCACAGAACTGTACTGGGGAGGAGATCATAACAGCTCTTCGATCGTGCCCTTCGATCCAAAGTGCTCCACAAATTCAGTGCACGCCGCTGGAATGCAGCCACCTCTGGGGTGAGCTGCAGCAGCAGCTTAATAACATGCAGCAACACAGCTGCGTAATTTAGGCCAGGCAGTGAAGGATCCTGTATCCACTGGGACCGTTAGGAATGAGTTGGAGGAGAGAAAGCCAAGGAAGTTGGCTGTTAAATGTGTCGGTGGGCTCTGAGGCAAAGGGAGTAACCAGGCCCCCAGACTGGAGGTGTAGCCTGGCTCTGCATAGAGCTGCACCCACTGAGCTAACACTTTCACTAAAGGTGTAATCAGCCTGTGGAACTCACTGCCACAGGATGATGCTGACACCAAGAACTGAGCAAGATTCCAAAAGGCTGTTTATCTGGCTAACAGACTATCCAGAGTGACCATTGTTAATGTGAACACACTCCTGCTTCGGGGCTTAAACCAACCTCTAGTGTTTAGTGGTCAGGGGGAGACCTACTGTGGGGAGCACATCTGCTTCTGCAGGATCCAACACCTTCCCCTCCAGAGCACCTAGTGCTGGCCCCTAGGAGAGCCGGCAGGCCGGACTAGACTGTCCTTGGCCTGACCCAGTTTCTGTGCACCCAGGGTGGACACCGGCACTTTGATTTAAACCTGTTTGGCTTTAGTGAACTCACAAGTGCCAGCTAACGTGACGAAACCGGCTCCAAACCAGTATGAGAGCAAGGCACCGGGGCCTTCGGATCCCAGCTGCCCATCGGGCATGGAGAGTGAACACACGGGGTGGGGGCACCAGTTTAACTCAAAGGGCTGGTAAAGCACTGCACGGAGCCAGGGCCATCCAGGGGCCTGTCAGGATGCGGGAGAGGAGTAAGCTCGGGGCTGGGGAGGCATCAGGGCCGTGGGAGAAGGCAGAGAGACCCTGGGCCCGGAGGGTGCTGCGAGGCAGCAGATCCCAGCTGGGCATGGGTGGGCAAAGGGCTGGAGACTGAGTGGGCCGGCTGGGATTTTCTCCTCCCCATGGGCATCACTTCAGTGCTGACAAACAAGGAAGAGCGTCAGCAGCTGACCCCTCGGCCCCACCGCGTGGATCTCCCAGTCGAGTGCCGAGCAGCTCCTGCTCAGCTCCAGGGAGCCGCTGAGCACGCAGCACGTGGTGCTACCGGCACAGTCGCACTGAAGGCAGTGAAAGCCCCTTCCCGCGCCGTGCCGAATCAGCCGGCCTCCCGCACAGGGAGCTCTGCCTCCCCCTGGGCGTGGGGAGATCCCACCGCAGCCCTATCTGCCTGACGGAGCCTCTCCTGGGTTCTGTTCTGCTCTCCAGGTGGCTGAAAACCCTGTCATGGCCGCCCAGTTCGCCAGGAGGGTGCAGGCCCTGAGGGACAAAGTGCACTTCGGCTCGGTGCTATTCTCCTGCCATGTTCGCAAGGTGAGGAGCCTGGCGCGGCAGGGCCCCTGGGGGGCTGGGTCCCCCCTCTCCTGCCATGGCCCTGCTCCGTGCGCTGGACAGTGCCTGCCTCAGCCCCTCGCCCTGGGGAGATCCCCAAGCCGGCAGGATCCGGCAGGAGTTTTGGGCCCACCTGCAGTCCATGATGCTGATAGGCCATTTCCCTCCCCCCTGCCCTACAGGGACCTTATTCTGCAGGGTCCTCAGCGCCCTCGTTTCTCTGAGCAGCCGGGGGCGAGGGGAAGGTTGGGGATCGGGTGTCCATGACAGTGGAGCACTGAGCGGCTGCTCCTGGGAGGGCAGGAGGGAGCCCCTCCCCCCCGGCAGGGTTGGGGCACAGGGGAGGTGGCAGGGAGCTGGGGACCCCTGGGCTGGCCCAGCCGCCTGCCTCTTGCTCAGGGCCCTGGCTGTGATTCTCCCTGCACCCCGGGTGACTTTGTCTCCCCCGCCATGCAGATCAACCGCTTTAACAAGAGCAGGGACCGGGCCATTCTCGTCACAGACCAGCACCTCTACAAACTGGAGCCCAGGAAGCAGTACAAGGTGATGCGGACCCTGCCTCTGAGCACGGTGAGTGCCCTGCGAGCCCTCCCATCTCCCTGGTGGATCATCAGCAGGCTGGGTACCACAGCCAGCAGCCCTGATCGAAGCCATGTGGGCAGAGCAGGGATGGAGAAGATCAGGCTCAGCTGCTCTGTCCCCGTTTCAGTGCTGGCTGGTGGCAGTAGTGGGATTTCCCCAAGAGACTCCTGAACCCCAGTGCAGACAAGCAGGGTGGTTGGGGAAATGCTGAAAGTTGATCCAGAAGCAGCTGGGAAATGTCCTTTCATGGGGAAACCCAAGACCTGGGTAATAACGCAGAATCCCAAATGCCCTTCCCAAGATATTCGCCACAGCATCTCTGTTGTGCTAGGCGCTTTTCTTCAGAGTCCGTGTCCCTCCATAACACCCCGGCGCTCTTCTAAGGAGCGCTGAACTGATCAGCAAGCTGAGATGCAGGGCACCTGTGGGCAAGTCATTGCATCAGCGGCAGAGCCAGGAACTAAACCCAGGATTCCCGACGCCTAGTCCTCTGCCCTAACCACTAGCTGCTGCTCCTTCCCACTGCCCCCTCTGTGGTGTTACAGTGAATAGCACTGGGGGGCAGAGGGCACCATGCTGCTCCAGCATTAAACCTGGACAGGATGCAGCGGCAGCAGCATCACCACCCCAAACGGTCAAAAATCATGAGACAGGCCTCAAACACTTGCCTTGCTCTGCAACTTGGGGCATGGGTTGCTTGGCAGGATCATCTAGGCATCGCTCACCAAATCAATTCCCTGCTGTCGCAGGAACCTCAGCCCCTCCTCTTCTCTGCATAATCACATGACTCCGGGAGCTGGGGATTTAATAGAAACATCAGGTACTGCGAAGTTAATGATAAAGGCACAAGAGCTGGCAACGCTGGCGCAGGGAATAGTCCTGCGCTTGCAGGGTGACAGATTAGATCACCTGGGCCCTTTCTATCCTTAACTACTGTGCCCTGGAGAAAATTCCCCTCTCCGTGGGGGGCTGATCTGGGGGGAGATGCCTGGTCTCTGGGCACAGTGGACCACTTGGCACATGGCGAAGAGGAACATGTGATCTGGAGGGGATGACATCACCTGGACCCTGCCACATCTCCTCCCATCAGCCAATCAGAATACAGAATCATCTCCATGCGGCACAAACACTAGCCAATTTGCCATCTCATTGGCTGATGTGGTGGCCGGTTGTGGGTGGGCTTAGAAAATGAAAGACCAATAGCAAAGGGGTGACCGTAGACTCCCAGCTACCACGCTGCCCTTTGCCCCCTGGTGGCCATGTGGGGAATTGCCCCCTGCCCCCTGCCTCAGCGAGGGAGCATGACGTGTCACTAACCCGGAGCGTGTTTGTCCTGTGCAGGTGACGGGGGTGAGCGTGACCAGCTGCCAAGACCAGCTGGTGGTTTTTCACACCCAGAACCACGACGACCTGGTCATCTGCTTCCATAAGATGCAGCCGGAAGAGGACAACCGAGTTGGGGAGCTGGTGGGGGTGCTGGTGGACCACTTCAAAACGTGAGTGATGGCATTGGTGCAAGACACAAGAAGGGACGGAGCAGGGGATTGGGGCACGGCTGGGTCAGGGTGTGGATGGGAAAACCCCGGTGGTGCTGGTGCTCTTCACTAGGAGTCAGAGATGAACCCAAGGCTATGGTATGATGCTCAGGGAGGTGCTGTCTTGCAGGTCGGCTATAAAGTAGGACCTTGACTGTTTGTGACCATTACAGATCTTGTGGTGTTTTAGGGCTCAGTCCCCCAGAATCCAGGCTAAATAATTACATTCCCCTTCAGGTATCATCCGAACTCAATAGTCTAGATTTTCTCTCCTAAACTCCGGTGTAGCTGTTGCTGTGTGCAGTCGAGCAGCTGCTGTGTTCCACCCCAGAGGTGGCAGCATTTCAGCGCTGAGCAGAGTGGCATGACTCCGGTTCTGGGTCATAGCCCTCGCAGAGGATAACTGCAGCTAGGGCCGGGGTTAGTACTTGGCTCGGCCCTGAAGAAGCCTGCAGTTGATGGCAGCTTCCCTTGGGAGAAGGAACTGATCAGCTTGAACCTCTTCCCGAGCACTAGGGCCTGCACGAGACAGTGGTGGGTCGGGGGGCTGGGTGACCGGAGCTCTGGCCCCACTGGCCCGTTCAGACTCTGGCTCCCCAGACAAAGGCCACCGAACGACTATCAGCTGGTCACTGTCACCAGGCGGCTCGAGGTGACCGGCAGTGGCTAGTGGATCTGAGCCACACCCGGGAATTATCCAGCCATGATAGCTCAGTAGTTAATGTGTTGGGCTTGAAATCCGCCGGGGCTCCCCCGACCCGTTCAAACCTTGCTCCCGGTGGGGTGGGCCTGGATTATACAGGCTGTCGGAGGAGAGGATCCCAACGGTCCCTTCCGGCTCTGTAGTCTATGACCCGCTCTCAGGCACCGGCAGCGCCTGGGATGGATTCAACCCCACAACCGAGAGTCGAAAGGCTCCACGGCCCATTACCAACCCCCGAGCCCTCCCGCCCGTGTCTGCGCTGGCAGGGAGAGGAGCGCCGGTCCCTCAGTGCCGATCTGGAGGAGCTCCATTGGCAGGGATGCTGGGCATTGATCCTGGGCGGAGGAGAGCTGAGGAGGCTGCTGGCGCTGGTTCCTGGCTGGGGGCAGGCGGGGGGCGTGCAGGCCGAGGGGGAACCGGCTGTGCTGCCTAATCTCCTAATCAGGCATTGTGCGAAGGCACGCGGGCCCATTGCCGCCTCCAGCTGTCACGGCAGCAAGCCTCAAGGCCAGGAGCGGCTCCCTGCCCGCGGGCTCCCATCTGGGGTGGGGGGTTGGGCAGGATTAGAGAGTTCTTCCTGAACCTGCTGGCCCCGCCACTGTGATGCAAAGCAGGTGCGGGAGCTGGCTGGGAGGGGGCTGAGCCCGGCTCCGGGGGCATGAAGCCGGCTCCAGAGCTCCCAGGCTCCGCGGGTTACAGCCAGGGGTGCTAGTGAGCCTTTGCCAAGGCTGTGGGCTGCTCCCCTCCCTGGCCTCCAGGGAGCACAAGGGCCCGAGCGTGGAGACCAGGGTCTCCACAAGCAGGTGTGTTCATGTGGCCGTGCTGCAGAGCGGCTGGGTGAGGGTGTGCGCCCGGGGGAACAGAACAGACCCATATAGAGCCATGTGTGGGTGGGGGAGGGTGGGGGTGTGTGTGGGCATGCAGAGGTGTGTCCATGCATGGGGAGGTTGTGAGAGGGAGCTCGCCCCCTTTGTGGGGCACACCCCCAGCTGAGCTGAGTGAGGAGCCCAGGGGCAGGCAGGTGATGTGGGTCTGGTTCTCCCTTTGGCCGGCTCTGGCAGTGCCACGCTCTGTGCCCAATGCCACGGACAGGGGCTTTGTGTCGGTAGCATGGGCGGGGGCCGTGCCGTGGGGCGGCGGCGCGAGAGGCCGCAGTGTGTGCAGGTGAGGGCAGCATGGTGCCCACTGCAGGGTGAGCCTGGCGGACAGGGCACTGCTGACCCCCACGGGGCTGGCTCTGTGCCGGCAGTCCGTGCCACTGCCCACAGCGGAGCAGCAGGTGCCAGATGGATGTCTGTCTACCGGAGCCCCCGAAGGATTGACCGAGGGAGGAGAGTGGAGAGAGGGGGCTGGGGGTGAGCCGGCGCCATCTGCTCTCGGCAGCTGCTGGCACAGGTCTGCCCAGACGCAGGGAAGAAAAGAGCTGTGCTGGGGGGGGAAAGAGGGGGCTGTGCGCTGCCCCCCCTTCCTCCAGAGCACTGTCACAAAGTGGATTGCAGGGAATTACTGCCCCACACATGGGCCCCCAGATGGTAACGCCCCTCCTGGGGTGGGGCCTTCTTAAAGGGCCAACGCCTGCCCTTTGCGGGGAGATAGTCACAGACGGGTCAGAATGACGGACACTGTCAGACTCGCACGGACGCGGACAGACTGCCCCAGCTCGCCCCTGCCCCACTCCCAGAGCACCCAGCCACTTCCTCTCCCTCCCCGGCAAGGTCGGTGCAGGTTGGGACAGACGTGTGCCCAGGAGTGGGCTATCCACCCCCCCCCCACAGAGCTCCGCAGGCCAGGCCCATCACACCTCCCTTACACACCCTGGAACCCAGACCTTCCTGGAGCTCCTGGCCCAGGAGCCGAGCAGAGGGCCGGGCTGCCGCAAGCCAGGCCCTCTGGAACCAGTGGCTTTTCTGGTCCCTTGGTGCGACTGCCACTGCAGCTTGGCCTCCCTCAGGTGCAGTTGACCCCGTCCAGAGCGATGTGTCCTGGCCGGGGAGGGCACTACACACTGGAGAGCGGGCGTGAGTCTGCCCACAAGTTCCCCTGGCTCCACTGCCTCTTGGGTCCCACACATGCATGTGCACACACATATACACACATGCCTATGCGCGCACGCACACATACAGCTCACGGGCAGCTCCCAGTGAACCGAGCTGTCATTGGGTGGGTCAGGAGATCAGCTGGTAACATGCTGGAGGAGATCCAGGGGAGTGGGGTGGGATAGCTCAGTGGTTTGAGCATTGGCCTGCTAAACCCAGGGTTGTGAGTTCAATCCTTGAGGGGGCCACTTAGGGATTTGAGGATTTAGTTGGGGTTGGGCCTGCTTTGAGCAGGGGGTTGGACTAGATGACCTCCTGAGGTCCCTTCCAACCCTAATAATCTGTGATTCTATGACCCCCTGCCTGGTTTCCGTGCTGGAGCTGGTGGGGCCTTTGCCCAGGAGCTGGCTTCTGGGCAGGGATCTGTCAGCTCCCTGAGGCGCTGCGGCCTTGGGGCAGAGCTGGGGGTTTCTGGGAAGCGTTGTACTCTTGGATCCGCTGGTGGCCAAGGAGCTGGCCGTGGTGCTGAAGGGTGGCAGCAGGGAATTGGAGCTGACTGGGCACAGACTTGTCCCGGGTGGGTCCCGTTGGAGCCAGCAGGTGGATGTGGGCCAGAGGAACCAGCAGTGGGGCGTGGAATTGTCACACTGCCCGGCTAGCCCATGTGCGTGGGGGCCACAGCAGGACCGTTCCCTACAGCCCCGCTCGGTCGAAGGTGCTTCCGCCCCTTTGGAGAGCCCAGGCTGAGGTCTCCCTCCCCGGCTTTCCTCCTCTCCAGTCTGAACTGCCTCTCTCACTCCCCCCTGCGCGATCCCCCGCCTGCCTGGGGCTTTACAGGCTGGATGGACAGATGGACGGATGGAGGGATGACAGGGCACCAGGCTTGGAGTCGGGACCATAGACTTGGACAAGTCACTTAATTCACAGACCTCCATTCCCGCCCTCTTTGTGAACGGCTTTGGGATCCCCAGAAGAAAGGGTCTGTGGGTGTCCTTACCCCTGACTGCGCCTGGCTAGCAGGGGGAGGGTTGCCCCTGAACAAAGCATCCTTCCTCCTAATCCCAGTTTGGGGAGAGAAGGGCGGGAGATTTGCCTTGTCTCCCAAGGAAACGGGAAGCTCTGAATGTCACCCCCTGCCAGTGTGGGGTGAGTGTAGGACTGAGATCCGGGGTTGTCTGGCTTCTGTCCCCAGCTCTGACACCAATTCCCCTCTGTAGCTTTGGGCCAGCCATTTTAATTGCTTGGTGCCTCAGTTTCCCCATCGGTGAAATGGGAAGGTAGCTAGTTGCTGTTTGTAGCATCACCACAGAAGGAGCCTGTTGGACCCTCCTGGCCATGCCCAGGAGTCCAGTGCAGGATTGTGCCCTACACTCTAGGGTTACGCTTCCCTCCGGAGACCGTTCCACAGCCTGAGCAGGCTCAGGCCATGTGCCAGTGGGATTTTAGCCCCTAGGGCAGGCACTATACACACTGGTGTAGCTAGCCCCAGAGCGGCACTAGTGCAAGCCTTCATCGTGTCGACACGAGGGGTTTTCACCCAAGCAGCTACACCACCAGCTTCAGTCCCAGCCCAGCCAAGGCCTCAGCGTTGGCTGAATGTGAAGCATCATTAATGATCTCTGCACCGGGGCAGGGAACACTCCTTCCACCACAGCCCCTGCCCGGCTGGGTGGGTGGGGGGGTGTTAGGAAATAACTGTCCAACTGGACGGACATTGCACTAGGCTCCCCATAGACTGGGGCGGGGCAGAGCCAGAACTTTCCCCAGGCCCCAGTGTTCCCCTTCCCCCGCCCCGAGAAGGGGGCTGCCCCTTTAAGAGTCCCCACAGCTGCTCCGGCTTCTGGCTCTCATTTGCATTTCAGTCCTGGCTCTCTTTTGTCCTGCCTTAATAGCCACCTAGCAGCCTTCCCTGCTCAATGCCACGGGCTGATCCTGCCCCGTGCTCATGTCTCCTTAACACAGCGACAGCTGCTGCTCCATTTGCTGCCCCTCCCCTCCCGAGACATGGCTCCTCGCCGTCGGTAGCCGAGGGCCCCACTGCCTCCCATCTCTTTGGATCCCCGCTGGAGTTCGCTCCCTCTGCGAGGGCTCCCTCCCTCATGGGCACAATTAGTAATGCCCCGCTCAGATCTCAAAGCGCTGCTCAAACGAGGGCAGTGTCATTAAACCCATTTTGCAGGTGGGGAAACTGAGGCACAGAGGGGCTGTGACTTGCCCAGGGT